GTGTAGAAACGAGGAGAATATTTTGGATCGCTCGTTGTCACAGCATTACCAATAAACTATTTCCCATCTCCAAAATGAAACTTCTTTTGCGGACTCCGAAAATTTTCCCTTTCAACAATATTGACTCCTTCTCTCCAGCGGAATGGATGGCCAGTAGAAATTGCATTTATCTCATGAGATCTTTGCATAATGGCGATCAACCCGGAAATTTTCAGTTCACAATAGCAACCCAGCGTGCTTCATCAAAAGTATGCGTACCAAATTTTTCTTCCCATATTCTTGAATGAGCCACAAACAAACTCACAGGAAAGATCAACAGTCGAGCGCTTCTAATACTAAAAATAAGACCATATACAAGTAACGATGCAAAAAATTTGACGAGTAAACGTTTTATTTACGAAATATTCCACTCCTATTAACAATAAGGTATTTCAAATGAAATGCAATGGATTAGATGTCGGACGATTTGATTAGCAATTGTAGTATGACTCACAGACATATTAATAAATTGTTGATTAGTAACAAACGAGTCAGTGATTAATTTCAGCAATACAACATACTTTGATCTTTGATCAGGACAAAAAACAACAATAGTAAAATATGACTGGTTTATCGTGGATGATATCAATGTTAGAATCATGAGAGGAATGCATGAAACAAGAAACTAAAAAGACGCAATACATACAATACTGAACGACGTTAGCAATGTTTCGGACAAGATGCAATTAATATGAGCACTTTAGAGTGTTTTAGCACAAATGAATTATAGAGAGTATCGGAATGACACAATCATTATTAGATCATAACGCAACGCAACAACATTTTGACTATCTGAATTTGGGTATCACACGCATACATTACATAAGTCTGTAAAAATATGGAATCATTGAGAATGAATTGAAACTGGTGGAACATTAATACTAATCTCTAACCCAAATCATATACGAATCCTAAGTTAGTCTTAATTTTCTATCGCTTCAAAACCATAACACTCAAAAATTGTTCGTTGCTATATACTGACGATCAAACGAATAATCCTCAATTACTGTTGAGAATACAATTATTCTTCAATGTACAAATACAAAATACAATTAATGGTAAGTCTATCACTCACTTTTCTAAACGGAACATTCTTCTTGGAATAATCGACATCATTCTCAGGACAGAACACATCCACTGTCATTGTCCGGATCACGATCGGTCGCGTAGAGTTTCTTCTCATGAACCGGTGTTAGTTTCTTGCTGCTTTTTCTAATCTTCGAGAAATCTGGCATCGTTGCTTTCGAAAGATCGAATGATGTATAAGTGATGAGGTTCCATCCCTAAATCACGAAAATTATGAAGTTATTCATTTAAAAGTGATCGTATTCATATTGTCATCAGCATAAATGAATCTATACATATATCTATATTTAACACAAACAATAACCACACCATAATCAAGTGAGCCTATGAGCCAATCAACAAACATTGCTTGTTCTTCTTATTCTCATTCATTGGAGGCCAGTAAACAGAGATATGAACCTATAATACGCGGTTCGAGACTACAACTCAACAATTCAAACGACAATATGGGCGAGAAATTTTAAAAACTTGATTAATAGTACCTTATCTGGAGCCGGTAAATTGAATGGTTCAGGCTTGACAAGACCATGTGTCGGTTTTTCGGCAAGTTCTGGACAATCGTCGGTTTCTTTCTGATGGTAAATTACCGTATTCTCTCGTTCAGCCTTGTCCAGATGTCTCTTGAGCAGTGGTTCGATTCGTCGGAAGAATAGATGCTGTTGTGGTTGTGCTTGCATACCTTAATAAAATCAAAAAAACTCATTGATACAGTGATCAATTATCTTCGAAGTCTCATGTTATCAGATCGCATCTGCATCAAAAGTTACTACATGAAAATATGTAGAATTTAAAATACTTCAAGCACGCAGAAATCAATGGATTTGAATAGAACATCCAGTCAAACTTCACTGACCAGGTCCAATAGCTTTTGAGTATTTTTCAGCGAAATCAATCGCTACCTGATAGCACGAAATACCCTCTTTACAAGCACGCATCGCTTCGCCACATTTGTGCTCAGCCAATACACTTTCACCCAAGAATGCATACGCATAAGCTAGGTAGAACTGCGCTTTCAACTGCACATACAAACGCCATTTACCGAATATCTCTGCGTCCAACCTATCCAAATTCGTATCTGAAAAGTTTATTTACAGCTCAAAGCATTGGTTGACTTGAGACTGTTACTGTGAGCCACATCTACTGTCGAATCAAAATGCACTGATTCATTGGAATCAATGATCGATTCCAAGATATCACCATCTCCAAGCATTCAAAAACCTCATATTCAATAAAGCTACCAACCGGCTTTTGTGAAAAATTGACTGGTCTGGTTAGCCAAAGCTGAGATTAATCTTGGACTGTGCTTCAGTTCAATGGCTCTCGCAACTGTGATCTCTTGTGCTTCAGCCTTACACTGATGGATGTATGCTTGTAACACCGCAGGATCAAAATCTGATCCAGCTATCGATGATCCTCCATCAATTTTGCCTTAAAAACTCTTTCATTACGGAACTGATCNTGATCTTGAGCACAGAAGATGTCTGAAAATCTCTTCAGTGAACAACCAAAAGAATCAATTCGCTGTCTAAATGAAGCAAAACAAAACTGAATACACGACAAAGACAACAATCAGCATCGAACCAGTGTTCTCGGAGACGAACTGAAACATTCCGGCGGCACGCCTTAAAGCCGTGTGCACCTGTTTTGCTTCAGTTTCCTGAACTTCATCTTTAGCTGCTACCCACGCAGCATGTTTGGTCAGCCATAATGCCATATTCATAATCATATTCAACGCCTCAAACCAAGTATCGCTGTACACTCTGCAAGGCAAACGTCCTCCTCAACTCAACAATACACCATATCAAAAATCTACTACATTTATAACTACATATGATGAAGTTTCAGTGCGTGACTTTCAAATCGCCTCCGAAAAGTTAATGTTCATTACAGATAAAACAGAAAAACACTGATAGAGCCACGTGCAAGTATGCTAACAAAGGTTTTCAAATGGTTATTTGTCAGTAGAAACTCACATCGCAGTCGATCCCAGCATAGAATTTGTCCATCTGAATTTGATCACTGGAGCCAACTTACTTGCTTTACCAATTTCGGGTCCTGACGGCCCTATAGTCATCAGAAAACCGGTGAATAACGCCAAATAGTGGTTGAATTCATCGTCGACTTTTTTCAGATCGTAACTTGCATCAGTGAACCATTCTAACAAATTCATCCTAGCGGCACAAAGTTTGCTGAAATAGCGATAAAGTCCTTATGGAGCCCAATCCGCAAACAATATCAATTACCATAATGTGGATATGTCAAGATAAGGTGACGTGTGAAATTACTTCACACAAAACGAACGACCTTGTAAACAAATTTTGAAACGTTTCATACTCAAACATAAAACTCCGCGTACCACGAGCTAGAAAGACATTAGAACTCTGAAAAGGATGCTTGAAAACAAGTGAATGCACTAAAATTAACCCGCAAATATTCTTGCTCTCTTCACTCGTCAGAACTGCTTTCAACTCAAATTTAACCGGGCTGCTGGTCTTAATCGGATTCCTGTGGAACCAATGAGCCATTGCTGCCAAAATAAATCTGAAACATTCATGTTTAGTAATAAACAAATGAACAGGATTAGAGGACATCATGAACAGTTTGCAGTCTATCCGCAAAAATACCAACACCAATGGTCTACTGATAAGCTTATCAGCTTATTACTCATAACCTTATCATTATTTGTGATTTAAATGATATGCGTCCATCACGCTAAATAATGATAAGCTGAATAGACTATTTCAAGAAAATGTCCGCGCCATCTCCATCACCTAAAAGGATAAGAAAGCCGAAGAAACAAAACAATTACACGAAACCGATGGACTCTATTTACGAAACAGCTGATTCATGCTGTAACAAGCTGTACGGGATGAACCAGCCAAATGGGCGTGTAACAAAACAGTATAAAGACAAAGAGAGAGAGAGCAACGCACTTCAACGCTTCTCACATCTCTGAAGACAGACCAGAGCACGTTATGGAATGTGCTTGCGATTGAGAGAGAAACCATAAATGGATAATAATAATCATTTGATTGAAACACCTTCAAACAGTAAAAAATCGTTGTGCATTGATTGCTGACTCACAATATCAGTTCTAATGGATATTTTTTGCTTCTTTAAAACTGCGGCAAGCCTGCCTTCTTTTCTGACGAACTTCTGCACTATGTGCGAACCTCTATAGTTTCTGACTGCGCTGTCGCTCGCTTGATGGTTTTTTCTTAGGAGGATTCGAAACGCGTTTGATTCGGCGGTTGATTGAGTGCGTGTTTAGCGTTGTTCAGTAATCGATCAATGCCATATGAATGCTGCTTTATTTGAAACAGTTGCCGAGTTGCGCTCGCCTTCATACGTTTTTCATGCGTTTTGTGCGTCTTATCAAGTATTGAATCGTACAGTGTTTATGAATTAAGTTTCCAGTTTACGAACAACACCAACAGCAATAACAAAACAGCAGCAACAAATCCGAAGATGTCTCGTCGAGCTGATCCTCTCGACTGCAAAGTCTATGTTGGTGGACTACCACAGGATGCTACTTCGCAAGAGGTTTGTATTTACTGTTGTATTTGATTTTAGCAATCTTCATAGTTGCCTGTATTCTATCACAACAGTTATTATCATACTGTGCCCAAATTAACCAGTTTAAGTAAGTTGTTGTATCATGATAGGGTATGGCATTATGTGGGTAGCATATTCATTGGGTGAATAATTTGTAGCTCGAGGATGCATTCAATCGTTTCGGTCGTCTTCGTAAGGTTTGGGTGGCTAGACGTCCGCCTGGATTTGCGTTCGTTGAGTTCGAGGACAGTCGCGATGCTGAAGACTCCGTAAGAGCACTGGATGGAACGTGAGTATCTGCCTCAGTGTGCTTGATTAACATCCTTCCAAATATTTCCGTAAAGTGTGTTAAAAATGACACCATTAGTGAAGTTGATAACTTATACTGTAAAATTGATAACATATATTAAAACCATTGTAAAGTTGATAATGTATATTTAAGTAGATGAAAATTTTTTTNTCTCAGTTGGACGGTTGGATTTGAATTTCAGGCGCATTTGCGGTGTACGAGCTCGTGTGGAGCTCTCCCACGGACGCAGACGTAATCCGGGAGGATATGGCGGTGGAGGCTATGGAGGACCGCCACGTCGTCGCTCAAGGTTTGCCACTTTGAAAGAGATTCTGCAACAACTTCGTAACCGTAAGATGTTGCCTTGAGTTTTGTGGTCATCTAAAGTGTATAGAAAAGTGAAAATGCAGTGTTAATTGCAAGAGTAATCTTGTCACACAACCGAGTTTATGAGAGCATGTGAGAGTTTCCAACTGAATGAATTCGTTACGATCGATATCGAGGCGGTTTATTGCCAGTTTGGATTAGGAAGAGGCGAGGTTTTCGTAGATTGTTGTGTAAAAACGCTTACAATTAGTTAGACAGACAAAAGAATGGTCGTTTAGGAATTCGACGTATGAAGCAAGCAGGTCATCAGGCACTGAAAAAACGTTTGTGTTTTTGAAATTTATGGCCATGTGTGAAAGCCGTTTTAGAGATTGATTGATTGATTGTATGCATATATATGTATTTGGTGGCTAAGACACTCGCAAAATTTGTTATGGTGGGAAGCATGAAGTTGCAAAGCAGATGCTGTAAATAATTTTTGAAATGAATTAGTTCTAGAATCATGTTAATTTTAGCAAGACCCGAACTCTTCATCACGTCACCTCTTCTCTTCTATCAACAAACACAACTACTATCACCCGACTACCACCTCTACTACTGCCACCATCACCACCATCTACATTACTTCTTGCATCATTCGTCTTACATCCTCCCTGAACTTCACCTCATCTAAACGACACACACACCTATCTTCTAGCTATATCGTCTTTACGATCTCGGCAACAATAACTTCGTTCTAAACGAGTTACTGCAAACAGCAGCAATCAGTGCTGATCATCAGTTGCTGACACCAAATTATTGCGCTCGCCATCAGGAAGCTTCTGATGAGCTCAGAAACACATCAAAGCATCCATCCTGCAAGCAAGCATCTGCATCTGCAACTCCATCTTGAAACAACATCCTTCCAAACACACCCATTGCAACTGTAGACATCGCGCATCGCATTTGCTATACCACCCATCTTAGAGCACAGAGACTAATAATCAGTCTTCTCACTGGTAAGAGATTCATCAACGGTTAAGTATTAGATTCGCTTGATGAATCGCAAGAATAGCAGCGATACTAACGACACTCCAACGATGTAAACAGATTAATATTATTATAGATATTAGCATTATTATTTTAGATTTCCTCAGTTCATCGTACAATCAATGTCTTTGATTTAGTCTCTGAATTCATTGTGATTTGATCATCACTTTAGTGCTTCCGAGCGATCTTTTTCATGAGCTGTCACTAATGTGGAAAGAAATCATTCTCATGTGCACTTGTGAATATTTGCATTAACAGTCTCAATTCAACGATAGTTTTTCATTTTCCTTTCGAATGCTATTTGTCGCTTTAATGTCGATATCCCTAGCTCAAATGCTGTCTTTCGAAGTTGTTGTTTGAGAGAATATTTTGTTTTCTGATCGTTGAATCCAATTTGAGATCACCATATCGTGCTCGCAGTCGCAGCCGTTCAAGAACGCCACCACCACGCAGATCGTCGCCCAGATACGATGCGGATCGCAGAGGTTACAGTCGCTCGCTGAGTCGGTAATTTACTATCATTCGTTTAAATGGTTTCTGTCGCAGTTTCACGTAAATTACACCCACTCAATTCGATTTTGTTTNATGAATTATGATTTCTTGTAAAATTTTGATAAATTATCACTTGATGTGGTGTTCTGTTTTCAGTTGACGAAGTGAGATGACGAGACCTTATTGCAATAATAAAGATGTGCAACTGAAGGAATCTGCTGAATATCTCAATAAAATTGATCCTTTGTATCACCGTCGATCATTTTACATAATATCGTTTTCAAATAGTTTTCACATATTTTTAGTCACAAACCATATCGTTGTTTTGTTCTATCTATTGTGTTTGATTTGAATGTAATCCGAGAGCAACAATTCCGATAGAGTGTCTTCTCAATTATTCCATGCTTAAATCATAAATTTTTGTTATCAATTTGTTTCAATTTGGTTATCATTTTGACAATTATTTGTTTAGTTTGAAGAGTTGAGTATGTTTGGTCGCTACTCTGTGCAGATCTCATTAAGGGTTTGATTGTTGTATTTGATGTTTTGAAGAATGTTACTGATTAGGGAGTTGTGAGATTTGAAAGGTAGAGCATCCAATCGAGAGTCATGTTTTGTTGGAGTGATATTAGAGGCGAGGAGATTTAGAAATATGAAATGAGCATCGTACTAGTAGTCATTAGTCATAGAATAGTGATGCTTNGCGGGGATACTTAAAATGTTTCGTTTCTCCTCTTCACACATTTAACACTACTCATCGCGGTTCAGTTATATATCGAGAATTGATTAATTTGTATATTTATCAGTTGTTCACTCATTTTCCTTTACGTTATTTGTTTATTGCCGATATTTGTGTGCGTGTGTGATACACTTACTTAACTCGGTGTCTCGTTGTTACGAAATTTTTCTCATCTAATCACAAAATCATGAGCAATTCTTTTTGAACGTTCGTTCGTTCATATTATCTTTCTTCTATTATTTTAATATTATCATTACATTTCTGTTATCAGCGTTTTGTTCTCATTACACAATATTTTCTCACTGATATTGACTCATTGTTGTTGCATACGTTCTTATGTTATATTGCACAATAAATGTTGAATTCAATTGTTCTTCTTTAGTTATTTCAAAAAATTTCAATTTGTATGTGTGCTACATATCAGATGAACGCTTGTGGGCATCACATATGAGTATTTTTACAGTGACTACTGAGTTTACATTAACATTTACTGATATCTCAATTCAACTGTTGCTTTTTACGAAAATACAACAAAATGGACACGAACGAAAATCCAACACTTTCAACAAAAACAGCATCAATANATAAGATCGACAGCAAACATTCGTCTCAACAAAACAAACAGTGAACAACTTGAATAAGAGCGAATAAATAATTATCAAGAATGACGAATACTTTGATAAGTCAGCAAAACGAATACTAACCGTAACAAGAGGATGATCAACTCATTACATTGAACTCAAATTGTACACGCTTTAACAATCTGAATTTTGAGAATATCGACGAATTGATGACTGAGGATAACGACTGACCCCTAAAAGACATACAAAAACTGCTGCTGGAAAATCGAGATTGAATTCTTCATAATTTTAGAATTATATACAGACAGACAGTACATCGACGGTAGTGAATGATGAAAGAATAACATTCAAAAACTGAAAGTGATTACGAAACAATGAGAAAAAGTCACGAAACTGTAACAAACATCATGATAATATATGTCATTGCAACAACTGCGAAAAACAAGCGATAGTCGTAACGATGAATAATTATCAGACCAATATAAATAGCGACCGTGCTAACGATCATATAATACGTTAAATCGATAATACAGCAATAAAAGTAATCATTGTAACAGTAACAACAATGTGTTACAAGAATAACAACAATGACAACAATAAAGTGTACCAAAAAGGAAATTCATCCACATTTCACATTCAATCATTTACATTTATTTATATACAACTTGACCTGATTCATCCGCACAAATCCACACAAAATCCAACGATACAAATCCACCGCAACTGCAGTTTATCTGTTTGGATTGTAGATCTTCTTCTTGAGACGAGTGATACGCCATGCATTCGGATCTTCGTATTTGTTGAAAAGTGGCGCGATCGTTTGATTCTTCTTGAACGCTGACAACTTTGTACTGTCGCCCATCTTGAAGAAGGATGGCGCAAATTCCACCAGCCATTTCGGATCAATTGCAGTCACCTGAATTCAACGTGGATGACATTTTAAAATTCGGCGAGTTACATGTTATTCGACGAGGCATTTTACAATATTCAATTTTATCAACTGTGAACACTCTCAGCCAATTACAACAATCATCAATCCACAACATATTAAATGTTATCAAAACCAAAACGATCAAAAAATGCTCCCCAGAAAAGCACTGAAATCGCAAAGAACGGAAGAGTTGACAAAAAAGAATTTGATTGAGAAATTTTCAACGGAAAGCGCTAACGTACCTCACGCATATACTCTTTACTGGTCATCACCAACTCGTGATACACCACCCATTCGGGCTGATTCTGGAAGAGTGCACTCGACGGATGGATGTATACATTCTGACCATCCACCAGTGTACGATAACCTTCCTAAAATGCGCCAATTTTAAGGCACTAACAATGAAAATATCGAGATCATAATAACATCTGAAAGCATCTCTCAACAGATTGCGAGATTATATATAATGAAGAATTTTACACAATACAACAGCGCACACAATGACTCAAATTTGCACTTCAGCAAATAACTTTAAGCTCATCCTGAATCGAGTTCACACTTCTGCAAAAACCCAAATCTACTCCGTCGTTCAATCAAAAATATCTACCAATAATCCAAATTGCGGACTGTTTCCAGACCGCAATATCGTTCACTTCAAATAATACCATATCAGGATCATGTAACAAACATACTTGTGGATCCCGTTTGGCCGCATTTCTAAAGAAACCCGAACAGATGGCCTTCTGAATCCTTTGCACATCACGTCCACAACTAATTGTGTTCAGCTTATGACGATCCATTATTGATAACAACTGCTTTCGAATATCCTAAAAATTCAGCGTTTGCTTAACCAACCATTATCGGATTTGATCAACTGTCATACGACACCAATTGATCTAACAAAAGCGCTCAACTTCTAAACAATTCTAATCTGTTCACAATGTTTCCAATTTCCTGCCATCCAATTTGCATTAATCATCGAACCAACCTGTGCTCGTTTCAGTGTTCGAATCTGCACAAAGTTCTCGTAGCACCATGCTTGTGAGAAATGGTGATGTTTCCATGAGTTATAAACAGCTAATAACGTCAAATGATCTCCTTCCGGCTGATGAAATTTCGACTTCTTCTGATCGGCCACCTCTTGCTTATCCTTTAAAATGTTTGTCACATCAGGATCATGGCAATGAGCATGATCTCTTTAGATTAAACTTTTTTATAAATGATTAGCATTTCCCGAGGATTTGCTGCTGTCTTCAAATTGCACTATGTCAAAGAAATAAGCTCACTTAAGATAAGTCCACAATTGATGACACGAAAACAATCATAAATTCAAGAAAAGTGAGAAAGTTCGCCAACAAGAAATTTACAAGTTCCAAAACTCCAAAAAACTTATGACAAATTCACTGAACCCATAGACACTCAATGATATACCACAACAAATCCAGATTTTTACTATAAGTAACCAAATTTCGTTAGTAACACTATCAAATAAAAGAGAAAGAATTCTGTTTGACTGCCAACCTTTGGTCTGTAGAAAACATTTTGCACGGAAAGCATCGAGACGATCGTCAAAACCTCATCTGAGCAGCACAAGTCCACTGACATTATAAGTAACTTCGCTAAGCTTGGCTCGAGTGGAAATTCTGCCATCTGAAAAGAAAAAATGAACACAAATTTTCTTCCTTAAATATTATAAAAATGTCAATGAATAGAAGATGAAAATTCTCTTTTTTTTTTCAAATCCGCCAACTATGCCCAAAATTTCTTCACATACAGGATATCGAACCCAAATAGAGGTTCAACTACGAAACTGTTTTACATTCATTATCCTCGTCCATCACACAAAATCAAGTCTCGAAGATGTTTATGAATACAACCGGACCAAAAATATTTAACTG